TGAATTTGGGTGCTCCAGAGTTTGGTGCATTATGTGTATAATTGTAATACCTTTTTGGTTAATCGTTCTTTGATCAGAATGAAGTGACCCTCTTAATCTCTTCTGATTACTTTTAGTTAGTTTGAATTCTGTTTTGTCAGATATTAGAATCTCTGTTTCTTAGTGCCATTGGCTTGAAATATTCTTTCCCATCCTTTCACCTTAAGGTAGTACCTGTTCTGGGAAGTGAGATGGGTTTCTTGCAGAAAAGGATGGATTTTGTTTCTTAATGCATTCAACTAGCCTGTGTCTTTTGACAGGGGAGTTCAGTCCATTGATATTTAAAGGTATTATTGAAAGATATGTATTGGTTGCCATCATTTTGATTATTGTTTGCATTTTTGGTCTGATTTTGTGTTTCCACAGTTATACCTTCATTTAGTTTCTTTTTGTTGCCCCTGGGGCGTAGTTTTTCCCTTCTCTATTCTTTGTATTGCTTCAAGTATCCTTTGAAGGGCTGGTTTCGTGGCTATGCACTCTTTCAGCCTATTCATGTCAGGGAAGATATTTCTTTCCCCTTCAACTATAGTACACTTTTTTTTTTTTTGCTGGGTAAAGTATTCTTGGTTGACATCTATAGTCATTTAGAGCTGGGAATACCTTGGACCAGCTTTTCTGGCTTTCATACTTTGCATTGATAAGTCATCTGTAGTTCTGATGGGCTTTTCTTTATATATGAGTTGTTTTTCTTTTGTAGTTTTCATTATTCTCTCTTTGTTCTGTACATTTAATGTTTTTACTGTGATATGCTGTGGGGAGTTACTCTTCTGGTCCAATCTATTTGGTGTTCTATGTGCTTCTTGTATTTGTATGGGGATCTCTTTCCTTAATTTTGGGAAATTCTCTTCAACAATCTTGCTTAAGATCTGGTCCATACGGTTAACCTGAAATTCTTCTCCATCCTCTATGCCTGTGATGTGTAGATTTGGTCTTTTAATGTTATCCTACATTTTCTGCCTATTCCATTCCTGTGTTTTTTTTAATTTTTCATAATCTCTGCCTGATGGGTCCAATTCTTCTCCAGTGTTGATATTCTGTTTTCCATTTTCATTCATTCTAGCACTGAGGCTTTCTCCTGTTGTTTCACATTTTCTTATTGAGTTTTTTACTTCCTTCATTTCAGCCTGAGTTTTCTTCAATGTTTCTATCTCTTTTGTGAATTCAGTTCGAGAAGTTTATCCCTAACTTCTTTTAGTTCTTTGATTTGTTTGTGTGTTCTTAAAATTTGTTAATTCCTTGATCATATTTATGAATGTTCTTATAGACTCTGTTCTGGGTTATCTCTATGGGGTTCCCCTTGTAGAACTCATCTGTTGGACTGGTTGAGTCTAGTGGGAATATATGTTTTGGTTTTCCATATTGCTATTTTTCCATTTTGATTTTGGCATGTGAATTTCTTTTATTTTTTTCAGGTTCTGGTATGAAACTCAAGCTTTCCTTTGTTAAGTTGAAATCTGCTTCTCTTGTATTATTGTTGTACCTTTGTTGTTTTCTTATTGGGTATATGAAGCTTTCAGGTGCTCTCAAATTTTATATTGGAGGGAACTGAAGGCTTCAGATCAGCTACTCAGATACTCCCAAAGAAGCACAAGTCAGGTTCCAGTCAGGTACACTCAGGCTTCCTTGTAAAGTCTGGATCCCTACTAGTGGGCACTCAAAGTACAATTTTGGAAGTTCACTAAGGGCACTCTCAGGCAGTCTGCTAAGGCCTCAGCCCCTACTGAAGGGCAGAGAGGTCCAGCCCTGATAAAGTCTTATTTGTTTATTTACTTGAAATAATTCTTTTGTTTTCCTTTTAAAATTTATAGCTTGCCAATTTATATTAAATAAGAGATAAGCCTAATAGCTCTCAGAGTGAATTTTCCTGTTAAAGAAGGCTACCAATCTGTCTTGATTAGAAAAACCATATTATAGTTTACCATACATACTCTTAGATTTCAGTATTTATAATCTAAAGAATAAGGAACACAGAGAACAATAGCATTTTAAAAGAACTTGGGAACAGACTATATTGGAAGACTGGAGAGAGTCAGATTCAGAGCCTCACTGTAGAAAATGTGAGCATTAGAACTAGACGGCCCATTTCTGTCTTTCCCCTTCCTCATGTAAAGCTACAGCCTCTTAGGTTGCAGGCAGTGGCACCCCAAGCCTGAGCTCTTGGCCCATTACCCCCAGACATATTGAGATCTGGGCTGTAGCATTTTAGACCAATTCGTAAACCTGCAATAAAGCCAGTGGCCTGGAACGGAAAGGGGCCCTGCCTGGGAAGGGCCAGTCCAAGTAACCCAGTGGCTCCTTCCTTTGTCCCATGTCAACCTTTAGAGCCCTTTTTCAGACTCTGCTCCTGCTGGTGGGAACACATGGCTGTGACCGAGACAGAGAATTAGGACAATAGATATTCCTAGGCTGTTTAATTTAATATTAGCCTCCCCTGTCTTGGGAGAGTTTCCTGACTGTCATTGGATGGCCCTCTGGTGAGTGCTTCCTATTAAGTGATCCCCTCACTCATTGGTGGAGTGGAGGAATTGTTCCTGTGGATTTGCAGTTTCCATCCCGCCCTGTGTACATTTTCACATAGATAAGGACAGACAAAATTTCTCTACTTCCCTCAACCCAGAATTCCTAGACAAAAAAAAAATCCAAGATTGCCAAGCAAAAATGGGTCACAAGTTCATCCTTCCTGGCCGCTTAGCCTAGCTAGAGACTACTTATGTGCCTCTGGGTCTGTTTAGGCTTTGACTTCCTCCAAAAAATGTCTAGTCAGAGGTATTCCAGGACTCTTATAAGGAGGTGATGAATCTCTTCTTCCACCAATTTTGATGGGTCTCCTAGTAGTAGACCCAGATTCTTACCTGTTTAGTTGGGCTGTGTTCCATTGTGCTCAAGGACAGTATCTCAGAGACACTGGGCGAATCATTCCTCTTACAGGTTCAAAAAGCCTGCGGCTCTGTTAAGGGGAAGTCATCCTCCTGTGGCCCAGGGAGGCTAAGCCCGGACACAAGGGAGGCATCTCTACCCCCACCTTCTCTGTCAGGGAACCAATGTTGTGGGAAAGATCAGGCAGAACACCGGGAGTGTACAGGAAGCAAGTATTTTATCTAGGCTACAGCCTGTCCAGCAGGCTCAAGCCTCAAAATCTGAACCCAGATTAAGGGGAGTTTAAACATTTTATAGGATTACATATTCATAATCATTATACATATTCAAAAGCATCATAGTAAAGTTTCATTTCTCAAAATAACATAAAAGTTTTGAAAGAAAGGCAGGAAGTTGTAGGTGCTTACCACAGCTGTCTGGGGCTGTAGTATGATATCCTCATTCTCAGCTAGATGCCAAAGGTGTTATCATAACAGTTCTTTCTAAACCTAGCATCCTAACCACAAACTTGTCAGCTGAACCCTACTGACAGAGACAGAAGACAAGGATTAAAATCTATATTTTTCTTAGATATTTCATTTAGCTACATTAGGGGAGGGCACTAAGACAGGAGGATCCCTGCCACTCAGTGACCAGCCTAGCTGAAGCTGAAGTGAGCTCTGTGTTCAGCCAGAAGATAATTGATGTTGATCTCTGACCTCTAGGTGCATACATATGCATGTGTACCTGCATACACATGCACACACACAAATATGTATACAAACACACACATTTCCCAGCACACAGAGGTGCTGGGTGTTTGTGTATATGCTTGGAAACTTTCTTTTTGTCTTTTTGAGACAGGGTCTCCCTGTAGCCCCAACTGGCCTGGAACTCGCTATGTAGACTAGGCTGGCTTTGAACTCACAAAGATCCACCTGCCTCTTCCTCCCAAGTGCTGGGATTAAAGGCATGCACCACCACACCTGGCTTATGGTTGAAAACTTTTAATTCCTGCTTTGGCCTTACTTTTACCATTTCATTTAGGCCAAAATGTAATAGTAATAATGACATTTTTCTCTATGTCACATATAGTAGAAAGAGTCTGTTGGGAAAATGGAGTACTATCTAAAAATGTTACAATCATGATATCTCAATTATTTATGGATAAAATAGCCCAAGTTCCATTTGTACTGTTGTCATCTTCAAAGAAACTCTATACGACATCAGGCATAAAGACCTCCTAACTCTGATCCCTGGAAGTGGTACTACTAGGTCAAAGGCAAAGCAAATTGCAGATATTATGAAGGATCTGACACAGCAGTCTCAATGAACTCGCTAAAGAGAAGATAACTGACTGCACAAATACACTGAAAGCAGTGTCTTCCTGTTGTTAAAATGAAGATGCAATGAAATCTACACCTGAAAAGACGCAAACATTATATACCAACAACATATTTTTTCTTACAATCCAAGGTTTACTTAAATATCAGAAGTCAAATAAGCCAACATCAATTACATCAAGTGGCTTTGTTTGAAATCTTTTTTTTGTTCTTTTGGAGACGGGGTCTCCTTGTAGCCCCAACGGGCCTGGAACTCACTATGTAGACTAGGCTGGTTTTGAACTCACAAAGATCCACCTGCCTCTTCCTCCCAAGTGCTGGGATTAAAGGCATGCACCACCACACCTGGCTTATGGTTGAAAACTTTTAATTCCTGCTTTGGCCTTACTTTTACCATTTCATTTAGGCCAAAATGTAATAGTAATAATGACATTTTTCTCTATGTCACATATAGTAGAAAGAGTCTGTTGGGAAAATGGAGTACTATCTAAAAATGTTACAATCATGATATCTCAATTATTTATGGATAAAATAGCCCAAGTTCCATTTGTACTGTTGTCATCTTCAAAGAAACTCTATACGACATCAAGCACACTCAGGAATATAGTAAAGCAGCACAATACAACAAAAAAGAAAACTTTTGTTGAAGGAAGACCTCATGAAGCTTCAAAAATTATGCCATATTGAAGTCTTGGTAACTAGGAAATTCTGATCATATTTTCTATCCTAAGCTAGTTATGTTTCACGTTTATTTCAGTTCCGCTTCTTGATAGGAGAAACGTGGTTTCATTGGCAGTGTGGAGTTACCGTAAGTGTCTTACTACAGAAATCTTGCTGTTTAGAACGTCAATCATGTAATAGTAAGTGATTTTCTTCTTTTAATTTTGGGTACTGACAACGTCGTCCATTTTCTCAGGCATTGGAATGGATACTTGCGTCATTCCTTTGAGGCATGGTGGTCTTTCCTTGGTTCAAACCACAGATTATATTTATCCTATCGTCGATGACCCTTACATGATGGTAAGTTTGACCTCGTATGTGTTTATAACTGAACTGGGATTTTGCTTTTGACTGGGTTTTGTATGTGTCTATGGGTTTGGGGCTGTTTGTTTCTGCTTTTGCTATAATCCTATTCCTGCTTTCACTCCTGCAGTTATGGCAGCCTGTTCTGTCTCCTGCTCACACTTGACACTATGCATGAATCAAGTAGAGAAGGGAAATCCCTCTGCTGCTTTTGTACCTGAGTGTACATCTTTATAACAGCACCTGTTGTTTTAAGAGAAGCTATTGACTGGTGGTGTTCTCTGTTTTCTTTCCTGTACCTGTCTCTCTTTGACATTTGTAAAGTTACCTCTCCTCTGTTTGGGGCTAGAAAGGTTATACTTGTAATACCACTAATTCTAAATGTTTCCTACCGTACTTAAAGGAACTTGGCATGTCATCACAATTGGACTTCTTGAACATTTATCCTTAGGAATGTTCACTCACCTCTGTATTATATGCCACTGTATGATATCAATCTACCACTGAATTAAAGTTGTAGCTACTTGGGGCTGTGGACATGGCTCAGTGGTAAAGTGTGTGCCATGAAAGCGAGAGGACATGAGTTTGGACCCCCATGGCAACTTATACCTGTAATAGTAATGCTGGAAAGACAGAAAGGAAGATTCCTGGGACTTACTGGCTAGGCAGTCTAGCTGAATCAGTAAACTCCAGGTTCAGTGAGAAGCCTTATTTCAAAAAATAAGGTAAGTCAGGCATGGTAGCATTTGCCTTTAGTCCTAGCACTTGGGGAGGCAGAAGTAGGCAGATATCTGTGAGTTCCAGGTCAGCTGGGGCTACACAGAGACCCTGTCTCAAAAAGACCAAAAAAGGTAAAAAGTGACTGAGGAAGACACCTGACATCAACCCCTGTCCTCCAAATACACATGTGCGTGTGCATGCCCACACACACACACACATACACACACACACACGAGTCTAGCTACTGATCATGCACTGTTCATTTCCCATTCATTCACTGTTTGTTTCCCAGTCTCTCTTGCATGCTTACAGTCACCAACCTTTTAATCTGTTCAGCCTCTTACCCCGCTGCTCTGTCAATGCTGAGACAGGACTGTCCCACTTGTTTTAAAAATACCAGGTGTCCTTTTGGTGAGGCAAGGACACTGGGATCAGGCTTCACACGTAGGAACTCAGGCTTAAGGTAGTAAGCCAGGAATGCTTATCTCCAGGGTATCAGCCAGGATGAGTAAGCAGGTCATCAGGAACTAATATGTCCTCTTATCTTTCCCTCCTCTAGAGCAGCACTCATTAGAGATAGGAGGGCCCAACCTAACCCTGTGGCACAGAAGTTAAAACCAGAATCTATCCTTTTTTATCATCTCTTCAAAGCACTTGAGAATAATCAGTAAAATCCTGCCTTTGTGGTTAGTGATTGCCACCTCTCAGTAGAAGACCAACTTTGGATCTGTTGAATAGGTTTCCAAATGTTTAGTGGGTTTCCAGAAGGCTCCTGATGTGCCACAGATTCATAAGAACATAAAAAACTCAGTCATAGGCCAGGCGTGGTGGTGCACGCTTGTAATCCCAGCACTGGGGAGTCAGAGGCAGGCAGATCTCTGTGAGTTCAAAGCCAGCCTGGTCTATATAGTGAGTTCTAGGACAGCTGGGGCTACAGAAAGACCCTGTCTCAAAAAGTCCCCCCCCCCAAAAAAAGAATTAGTCATTGGAAATGATGTACTGCTTTGAAACTTGATTATCCTTATGTCAGAAGGAAAGTTTTTCATTTTCTCTTTACTCTCTGTTAAAAAAAAAAAAGACAATAGAAACATATTTTTTTAAAAATTCCCATGGCAATAAAAATTCTTGCCAGGCATGGTGATGCATGCGTTTAATCCCAGCACTCGGGAGGCAGAGGCAGGCGGATCTCTGTGAGTTCAAGGCCAGCCTGGTCTACATAGTGAGTTCCAGGACAGCTGGGGCTACAGGGAGACCCTGTCTCAAAAAAAAAAAAAAATTCTTTATTGCCACATTCCTATGGAATACTGTTTTAAGGTCTTCATAAAGTTTACTGGGAAGTCCTTTTTTTCTTCAGTATGACTTTAGTCCTCTATTATTTTTCTTTCTCAGATGATTTTTCTGTTTATTTCTTTAAAAAACATTTTTATTTGATTTATGAGTGTTATGCCTGCATGTGTGTGAGTGTACCTTAGTCATGCAGTGTCCATAGAGGACAAAAAAGTTATGGATGGTTGTTAGCCACCATGTGGGTGCTGGAATTTGAACCCAGGTCTTCTGCAAGAATAACCAGTGTTCTTACCCAGCAAGCCATCTCTGCAACCCCGTTTATTTCTTACAGCCTCAAAAAGAAGCTACAGAAGTTTCTCAGTCTACCTGCAAAGCCCATATCCTAGTCTATAACCAATCAGTGCTTTTGTAGTCCATTTAAGATAAGTGCTTATTTCCAAGTTTGCTTTTCCTGATTACTTACAGCCCCTTACTCCCTGGCTCTCTGTCAGGTCATCAGTTCTATCTAACCTCCACACCTTCCTGCATCTGAGACAGCCAGGGCTCTGAAACTCAGAATGGGAAAAACATGTGCATTCTTTGTTTTGCACAAGTGAGAGGAGCTGATTCCTGGAGTGTCTGGGGGGGGTGGCCTGAAGATTAGTTGAAAGTGACCAGCTAAAAACTTATATCCTGAGAGCTGCGCTTCCTGAAAAGTCCTGGCTTCTTCTTAGAGGTCCCTGCTTCATAGGCTCCATCTTTATTTCTATAGATAGAAAGTCCCTGGTTGCCCTTTCTCACATCTCCACTCTCTTCCTAGGGCAGGATAGCATGTGCCAATGTCCTCAGTGACCTCTATGCAATGGGAGTCACAGAGTGTGACAACATGTTGATGCTCCTTGGAGTCAGTAATAAAATGACTGACAGGGTAAGTATGTAGGAGGTTCGAGTATTTCTTCTGGCTCTCCTTTTGGGCAATTATCAGTAAGTTAGAATGAGCATCTAGCCTTTTCTTCTACCACCTGCTCCTTCCATATCTTCTAGGTAGACTGAAAGCTAGACTTTGGTTTATTTATTTTTTTTGTTTTGTTTTGTTTTGTTTTGTCTTTTTGAGACAGGATCTCCCTGTAGTCCCAGCTGACCTGAACTCACTGTGTAGACCAGGCTGGCCTTGAACTCACAGAGATCCTCCTGCCTTTGCCTCCCAAGTGCTGGGACTAAAGGCGTATGCCACCACGCCTGGCTGACTTTGGTTATTTTAATAATGCTTAGGCTATACTGACAGTTCCTCAGTATCAGGCCTGTGGGTCAGGCACTACCTTTATTGGTTCAGAGCCTGTGACACTTAGAGAGCAGACAACCTCCTATGTGGGTTTAGGGCCTCACATGTTCACATGCAGTCTCCCTTACCTGTTTTTTGAACCAGAAATTAATTCCTATTTAGGTAATTTTTGACAGATGCTTGTTTTTATTTCCCCTTCCATGTCCCTTATCCCCCACCCCAACCAGTTTGCCTTGTTTTACAGGTAACCCAGTTTTTTAGGCCCTTTTTCTGCCCTGGCAGTGTATCCTTTGATCAGTGGTACCCAGTGGTCTCAGCAAGGGCTTTACTGGGAGTATGTTACCTCCTAGCCCTCAGGAAGTCTCCCCAGTCCTTGATAAAGTGTAAGCTTCTTTGAAAGCAAGGGTATATGTGGAGTTAGCTGGACTGGTGCTTTTCAGGACCAGTGGAGGACTATCTTCTATGGTCGTCAGTCTCAGGGCCCAGCCTTCATTTGCTTTGTAACAATAACATGCTTACAAGAAATAGTGCCTTGCTTTTGTTATACCTGCCCTGTCTGTCAGCTTTTGGTTCTTCCTTTAGGGTTTTTTGTTTTGTTTTATTTTGTTTTTCTTTTTATAATTACAAAAGTAGAACCCTCTCTGGGTTTTGAACAGAATTATATGACTTTTCATTTGTGTCCTTTTAAACCCTAGGAAAGGGATAAAGTGATACCGCTAATTATACAGGGTTTTAAAGATGCAGCAGAGGAAGCAGGGACATCTGTAACAGGCGGCCAAACAGTATTAAACCCCTGGATTGTCCTAGGAGGAGTTGCCACAACGGTCTGTCAGCCCAATGAGTTTATCATGTAAGTTGGTTTTTGTTTCATGTCGCTGGGCCTCTTTTTCTCTCATTCTCTCGCTAAAGATAGATGTATTAAGGTAAACTCATTTATTATATAGTTTTCCCATTTTAAGTGTGCATTTCAGTGGGTTTTGCCTTTTCCAGAGTGTGGAATCACCAGTCTGTCATAATCACCCTAAGAGGAAATTCTCCCACTCAGTTGTCACTTGCTGGTCCTCTGTACCAGATTTACGTACTCTGTAGCATGTGTCAGTACTTTATCCTGTTCTTGAGCAATTTTAAGGGATTTTTTTAGGGTTTTTTGTTTTTCTTTTTTTTTTTAATGTGTACGAATGTATTGCCTACATGTATGTGAGGGCACCCATGTTGTGCAATGCCGCGGAGGTCAGAAGAGGGCTTCGGATTCCCCTGGAACTGGAGTAAGGACAGTTTGTATCTGCCATGTGGGTGCTGGGAATCAAACCTGGGTCCTCTGCAAGAGCAGTCAATGCTCTTAACCACTGAGCCATCTCTCCAGCCCCCAATTTAGTTTTTTTTTAAGTTGAAGTAAAATTCACTTAACAAAATGTCACAAACATATACTTAAGCATTTATTTGTCTATATTTTGGGTTGACTTTAAGGTGTATCTCTGTAGCCCAGGCTGGCCTCAGACTCAGTCCTCCTGCCTCAGCCTCCTCAGTCCAAGAATTACAGGTAAGTGCCACCATGCCAGCATTTTAGTTTCTGTTCTTAGTGGTTTGGTTTGGGGGGGGGTTGTTTTTTTTTTCTTGTACTCGAGATTAGACTGCAAGTTCTTGTGCTTGAGCTCTATCCTCATCCCAGCACTTAATGATGTATAGTTAGTACAACATTGGGTGAATATCACCATATTATACAATTCCCAGAACATTCCCTCCCCCAAATGCTTTGAAGACCACTAAACTACCTTTTGTCTATATTTGCCTATTGTGAGCTTTTTTCATAAATGGAATGCACTATATAGCATTTGTATCTGGCTCCATTCACCTATCATAACATCTTCAAATTGTAGCATAAATCTGTAATGCTTGTTTTCGATGGCCAAATAATCCACTGTTTATATACACCATATATTTTGTTCATTGATTGGTGGGCTTTTGGGTTGTTTTCTCCTATTTATGAATAAAGTTGTTGTAAATACTCCTTAAGTGCAGTTTTGTCCTGTGTGGGGGGCATGTGTGTGTGTGTGTGTGTGTGTGTGTGTGTGTGTGTATGTGTGGACTCAGGAGCAGAAAGTGAGGTATGTTTGGTTCTGAAATCTGTCCTGCCTGCTTTTTCATCTGCTGTGTGTTTGAGTGAGCCAGTACATGGGGTTGGTTGGGCAGTTCTGTGCACAGCTTCTGGAGCTGAGCTGAGAAAGGCTTGGTGACTGACCCATTCTGGTAGTAAGAATACAAGTATATGCTAGTGTCTTTGAGGATTCGATCCTTTTTTTTCCAGGATTCTCTTTTTAGTACTTGGCTTCTGTCTTCTAGACAGGGACTACCCAGGCCTTTGGATGCCAAGTCAGAAACTCATTATTGGGCAGTGTGAGTTTGAGAACTTGGATGTAGACATCACCAAAATACTAGACTCCAATTTCAGCCAATTCCTACGACCCAAAAGTCCTATCTGACTCTCTACCATATGATTGACCATGACCAGGTATCATGGTCCACACCTGTAATTCAAGCCCTTGGTTGAATGAGGCAGGAGGATTGCAAGTTCCAAGCCAACTTGGGCTATGGAAAGTTACTGCCTCAGATTATTCTGACTTCGGATTGATCTATAAATTGGAGTCATACCTGATGGAGCTTTTCAAGACCGCATAACTTGCTGTTGCTACCTTTCTTTTTTTTTTCCTGTTTGTCTAATGTATAGATAATTGATGCATATGCTTAAACTTATGTGTGCTTCCATTTTCCTTTTAACATTTTGTCCCAGCAGTAGCATAAGTATCAGGTTGTAAAGCTCTATCTAGTACATGGTGGGATTTGGCTTAAGTTTTAAGTTCAAGGAGCTGGGGAGATGATCCAATAGGTAAAGTGTTTGCTGTTCAAGCATGAAGACCTGAGTACTCTCTCCAGCAACCACATAGAAGCTGGGTGTGGAGGTGTACACCTGTAATCCCAGCACTGGGCTAAAGACAAGATACCTGAGGCTCACTAACCAGCCAGTCTAGCTGAAATGGTAAGCTCCATGTTCAGTGAAAGACTCTGTCTTAAAAAAATAAGGTGGAGCCAGGTGCAATGGAATACGCCTTTAATCACAGCACTCCAGGAGGCAGAGGCAGATGGATTTCTGAGTTTGAAGCCAGCCTAGTCTACATAGTGAGTTCCAGGCCAGCTGGGGCTACAGGAAGATCCTGTTTCAAAAAGACCAAAATAAATTTTAAAAAAAGGTAGAAAGAGATTGAAGATGACTGCCAGTGTTGACTTCTGGCCTACACACACACACACACACACACACACACACACACACCCGTGCACAGATCCTTGTACACCAAAAAAGTAAATTGCAATTGTGAAACTTTTTTTTTTAATAGACTTTTCCTTATAATAATAATGAGTTTATCTCTTTGGTTAGTTCAACTGGAACATGCTCTTTTACCTTCTTCAGGCCAGATAATGCGGTACCAGGGGACGTGCTGGTGTTAACGAAACCCCTGGGGACACAAGTTGCGGTTGCTGTGCACCAGTGGCTGGATATTGTAAGTAAAGAGCTGTTTGATGTAGGGGTAGGTGTATGGGCTTAACAATTAGCTTTCAGAGTTGCAGTGATTTTTGTTGTTGTTTTTGTTTATTTTTAGAGGTCTTATGAAAGAAAATCTTTATTGTGGAGGAGACATCTAGAAGATGGCATTTGAAGTAGTATAAATAAGGCTAGTTGTTGATGTGTTAGTTGTGGGGTTTGGAGTTGTTCTGGCATGCTGGTTTTATCTTTAGATTGATTAGCAACTAAGAACATTTAGATACATGATTCTCTTCATGGAGAATGAATCTAGGAAAGGATATTTCTCCTAAGCATTGTCCCACTGAACAGTCATTCTTTTTTTTTTTTTAATTGCCATAGCAACTTACAAATGAGTAAGATTGTGATGTGTTCTTACATTATCATAGTATGTTTAATTTCTGCAACTGTCACCTGAAACTACCAGTCTTGAGAAACAGTTAGAAAAGAATAATGAATATTTTTGCCACTTATCAGCCAGGTATATCGTGGCTTGATGTAGCCAGTGAGAAATTCTCATAGACTGCCACATGCTTACTTTCCATTCTCACCTAGTGATGTAAACCAGACTGGAAGGTTGTTACAGGGATAATCCACAGAAGGGCCGTCCAGTGTGACCGCTCAGGCTTAGGATTTGAAGGGCAACTAGAAGCAGGACAGGCACAGGGTAATGATGAGGTGCAGGGCCTTCTGGTCTCCCCACCATTGCTTTATTTTTGTAAGTGTTCAGAATTGAAATAAGCAAGTTCCAAATACTACATAACAGCACTATTTTTTTTAACAAAGATTAGAAATAGCTGTAGCATGTAGCTTTAGCCTCTATATTCTGAGTATAACAGCTTTCAAAGGTAAATAATAAGTACAGGTAGAAGAGTGGTTGTTGCTTCTGGGAGAGATGGAAGTAATGGAATAAGGGGTAGATGGAAGTTATTGCTGATGTCTAGCAGTGGGTGGTAAGTGAATGTATGAATCATAGAGCAGTTAGTTAGACTGTGGTATCAGTGTGCCATGATCCCTGCAGTTGTGGTGCTAGAATCTTTGAAAACCAGACAAAGGCCTTTTTATCCCTTTGGTGGTTCCCTTTTTGGTCACCCAAGGCTTTGTTCATTGTGGATGTGGTTGGAATTTTCACAGCTCTTTGTTTCAAAATATGTTCGCTGCAGGATTCAGTTAAAGTCAGAAAAGTCTAACAGAAGTGGAAGCCATCAGCTTAATAGAAAAGATGGGAAAGAGAGGCAAGGGCATGAAACAAAACCTTTCTTTTTCTTTTTTTGGTGTTTGAGGCCTCATGCATGCTTGGTAAGTGCCTGTCTGAGCCACATCCCCATCCCTTGAAAAGTGTTAAAGTGATTTACACCTGAACAAGTGAGAGGAGTACAGCTGTGTGTCCTGCTAGGTTTTCATATCCAATGAACTACAGTATTTGATTCTAGAAATGTGGGTGGGATGAGCAGGAGGTAGCATGATGATAGTGCTACTAGACACAAAGTAGTACTCACAGGGCAGCAAAGAGAACACTTCTGTTTCTGTGAACATTAGATAAATCAAAGTCAGCATGGCTGGGACTGGGGCTCAGTGGTACAGGAAGTACTCAGCATGTATGAAGCCCTGGTTTGATCAGCAGTGTGTGTTGTATGTGCATGCATACACACACACACACACACACACATTCTAGAAGGTAACTAAGAATAAACGTTAGTCCCAGCACTCAGGAGGCAGAGGCAGGTGAATCTTTGTGAGTTCAAGGCAAGCCTGGTCTATACAGTGAGTTCCAGGCCAGCTGGGGCTATAAGGAGACCCTGTCTGTAAAAAAAAAAAACAACTCATTTTGTTTAGTCTTTAGAAGATTAATCCCATTTTCTCCTCTTCTCTCTCTTGCCTGTGCTTCTATGATTAGCCTGAAAAATGGAATAAAATTAAGCTAGTGGTCACCCAAGAAGACGTAGAGTTGGCATACCAAGAAGCAATGATGAACATGGCACGACTCAACAGAACAGGTATGGGGTGAAAACCATTCGTTCAGGAGTTGGCAAATGTTCTGGAAAGGGCCAAGAACAGATACTTCAGGGTTAGTTGGTGGCATACAGTTCCTAGTTGAATCCTGATATTTTTTCCCTTAACTCTTCGATCATACAAAAAGTGATTGATGGAGAAAAAGAGATCCCGGGGGTAAGACTTAGCTGGTAACTTCAGAACCTCTCTTCTCTTGGGATCTCCTTTTTCTTTCATTGGTCACTAATGGGAATCCAGAGCCAGATGGTTTTCATTTACAGCTTTGTTTACTGCAATTCCACTAACAGTTTTTCAGTTTTCATGATATTGAAAGTGATGTCAGGTGACTGAACTCCATCATCATAAGTCAAGGAGCATGGCATGTTCTCAGTGAAATGCTGAATATGACTTGTATTAGAAAATTTCTCACTATAATGTGCACATGTGCCTCACTCCTCCTTGAGGACAGTTTTCATAGTATGCTTTAAGAAGTGCTGAAAAGATGCACAGCAGTTATTTATCTATTTATGTTTATTATTATTGATCTTTTTGAGACAGGTTCTCCCTGTAGCCCTAGCTGGCCTGAAACTCACTGTGGAAACCAGGCTATCTTTAAACTCACAGAGATACACCTGCCTCTGCCTCACAACAGCTGGGATTAAAGGAGTGCACCACCATACCCAGCAAGAGTGTGCACTCTTTTAAAAGTATAGTAGAAGTAAAAGTACACCAGAAGCAGTTCATCCTGTCAGTTATGAGGTAGGCAGACCAGGCTTTAATTTGTAATATAAAGTTTGCGGGGGAGGTTTCAATTTTCTTTTTTATTTTTTTCCTGTGTATGAGTATTTTGCCTGTCTGTATGAGTGTGCCATCTGTGTAGTGCCTGCAGAGGCCAGAAGAGGGCATCAGCAAGGGGGCTGTCTCTTGGAGACAAGGTCTTCCTGAAGTCCCAGCTGCCCTGGAATTCATAGAGATCCACCTGCCTCTGCCTCCCAAGTGCTGGGATTAGCTACCACACCTGGATAATTTTTAAAATTTTTATTTTCTGTGGATGACTGTTTCGCCTGCATGTAACCTGTACATGGAATGCCCATGGAAGTCAGAAGACGACTTCAGATCTCTTGGAACTGGAATTAAGGATGATTGTTAGTTGCCATGTAGGTATGGAAATCAAACCCCAGTCCTCTGCAAGAGCAGTCAGTGCTCTTAACCCCTGAGCCATCTCTCTAGCCCCAGTTCTTTCTTTTTTTCAAAGTTAGGCAATAATAATTTGTTTTACTAGAATGAATAGATAAACTATTTTGTTTTGTAGGCTTTTATGCAGTTATGTAAAAACAACAAACCAATGCTATATTGTACTTAAGAGTACTTTCTTTTTTGTGTATATGTATAGGTGGGTGCATGCATGTGCGGAGGCCAGAGGTCAACCTTGGGTGTCTGTGCTGGATAGCTTTAGTGTCAACTTGACACACCTGGGTTGCAGGGCCCTCAATTAGGGAATTGCCTTCATTGGACTAGCCTGTAAGAGCATCTTCTTGATTATTGAGTGATGTGGGAGGGCCCACCCGGGAGGGCCCAGCCCACTGTGGGTGGTGACACTCTGGGCAGGTCGGCCTATACTATATAAGAAAGCAGGCTGAGCAGGGGTCAGGGGAGCAAGCCAGTAAGCAGTGCTCCTCCATGGCCTGTGCTCCAGCTCCTGCTTCTAGGTTCCTGCCCAGAGTTCCTACCTTGGGTTCCCTGATGAACTGCGACCTGGGAGATATAAGACAAATAAACCCTTTCCTCCCCAAGTTGGTATTGGTCAGAGTGTTTTGTCACAGCAATGGAGAAACAAACCAGGACAGTGCCCTTCACCTTATTTTTTTATTTAAATATTTTATTTTTCTTTTTTATGTGTATGAGTGTATTGCCTGCATGTATATAAGTGTACCTGTGTCATGCAATGCCTGAGAACATCTGAAGAGGGCATTGTATTCCCCTGGAACTGGAGTTAGGGACGGTTGTTGGCTGCCATATGGATGCTGGGAACTGAACCTGGGTCCTCTGCAAGATCAACCAGTGCTCTTAACTGCTGAGCCATCTCTCCAGCCCCTTTACCTTGTCTCTTCACTGGTCTGAAGCTTGCCAATTAGTTTAGACTGGCTGGCCAGGGAGCCCCAGGGATCTGCCCCTCTCTACTTCCCCAGCATGTGCCACCATGCCCAGATTTTTCAGTTGGGTTCTATCAACTATCAAATTCATAGTTCACTGACAGCTTTCTCTCCAGCCCTATTGTTTCTTGGTTTGGGTTTTTTTGTTGTTGTTGCTGGTTTTTTTGTTGTTGTTGTTGCTGTTGGTCTTTTTGAGACAGGGTCTCAAAAGGCCTTGAACTCATGATCTACACAATGCTGGCCTTGAATTCACAAAGATCCGCCTGCCTCTGCGGGGGCTAGAGGCATGCACCAACATGCCTAACCCTAAATATTGTTTTAATTGTAGCAAAATAGCTTTTGTGACTGTCAGACAAACCTATAAATAGGAAATGGAAGTCAGGCTACTATGGCTGAGTAGTTTTTACCTGTAAGCTCCAAGTCAAAGAAAAAATATTCTAGAAATTAACAGGTCACTTCTAGAGAAACTAAACATTTGAAAATAGAACTGAAGTTGCCGGTGGGATGGCGTACGCCTTTAATCCCAGCACTCAGAAGGCAGAGACAGGTGGATCTCTGTGAATTCAAGGCCAGCCTAGTCTACATAGTGAGTTCCAGGTCAGCTGGAACTTTTCAAAAAAAAGAAAAGAAAATAGAACTGAAGTTAAATTTAACATGGATTGTCAGTTATGTAACTGGTCATAAGAACTTTCTCATTTCAGGTGTTTACATTCAGGTTTTATGTGGTCAGGTAACAATGAAGATATCCCCACCACTCACCATGAGCTCCTTGAAATTGAATATAAGTTTGTAAACTCAGGGGGGCTGGAGAGATAGCTCAGCGGTTAAGAGCACTGACTGCTCTTGCAGAGGACCTGGGTTCAATTCCCAGCACCCACATGGTGGCTACAAACCATCCTTAACTCCAGTTCCGGGGGAATCCGAAGCCCTCTTCTGACCTCTGCATCATTGCATAACACAGGTGCACTCACATACATACAGGCAATACACTCATACATGTAAAATAAAAATAATAAATTTTTTTTAAAAGTTTGTAAACTCAGGCTATGACTTAGCCAGAGCTCTGTATAGCCCATTGACATCAGATTTCCTATTGACATATCTCCGTGCTTCTGATTTAGTGTCTGCTCTGAATTCTGTCTCATAAGATGTGCACACTGTCCTCCACTTTGATAATAGTTACAACCAAGATTCTTCTTAGAGGGCATGACTTATCAATAGGCAAGTCTCTTGTTCTATTGCAGTTGTGTGAATAACCATAGAAGTTTATAGGTGGTTTTGTTGTTATTGTTACTGTTGTTGTTTTCGTGTGAAGGAGTCAGCCATCACTGGGGTATTTCCGAATCCTGAAGACATCAGAATGAATTAGCACTTGTCAGATTATTTTAACAATATTCTCCATAGTGTTTGCTTTAACATTTAAAAAAAGGAGTTCTGTTTTGGGGTGTTTTTTGTTTTGTTTTGTTTTTACTTCAAATCACTTAAATATTCAGGCTGAGACAAATTATTCGTTTACCTATGACCTTTTATTTTGTTTTGGTTTTTCTTTTTGAAACAGGATCTCATGTAGCCTAGGCTGGCCTCAAACTTAACTGTGTTGTTGCAAATGACCTTCAACTTTTGATCTTCCTACCTCCACCTTCCAAGTGCATGTATCACCATGCACAGTTTTTATGAAGTGCTGGGAGTCAAATCCAGTGATCTGTGCTTGCTATACACAACTGAGCTATATCCCTATCTCTGCCTGTAACCTCTTAGGAAATTGTAAATTTTATTAGACTGCTGTAACTAGGTTCAGTGTAAATTTCTATGGACTATGCTTTAGTGTATTTGCAAATGGTCAGCTTGGTTTCTGAGATTTAAAAAAAAAATTTTTTTTGGCCTTTTTGAGACAGGGTCTCTCTGTAGCTAGCCCCAGCTGTCCTGGAACTCACTATGTAGACCAGGCTGGCCTTGAACTCACAGAGAGATCCACCTGCCTGTGCCTCCTGAGTGCTGGGATTAAAGGCATGTGCCACCATGCCCAGCTTGAAATTAAAATTTTTATTTGCAATTTTCTAACATAGAAAATTTATTTAAATTTTGTCAAGGGGCTCACTTGACATAATTTAAGCAGTCTTTTTTTTAACTTATTTATTTTTATTTTATGTGTATGAGTGTATTGCCTGTATGTGTGTAAGTGCACTGTGTCATGCAGTGCCCGTGGAGGACAGAAGAGATTGTTGGATCCCCTGGCTAGAGGTATGGACAGTCATTAGCTGTCATGTGGTTGCTGGAATTCAAACCCAGATCTACTGTAAGAACAACCAGTGTTCTCCACTGCTGAGCCATTTCTCCAGCCCCTCTTTTTTTTTTAAATTTATATGTGTGTGTGTGTGCACGCGTGCCCGTGCTTGTGTGCATATGTGCACATGCACATGTGTAGGTACCCACAAAGGCCAAAAGAGGACTTCAAATCTGCCGAGTCGGGAATTACAGGTGATTTGTAAGCTTCCCAGTGTGGGTGCTGGGGACTAAACATGGCTTCTGGAAGAGCAGCAAGTGCTTTTAACCACTGAGCCATCTCTCCAACTTCTAGTTTAAGCATGTTGCACTCAAGTTTTTATTGGTGTTCACATTTATGGGACACACCAGTTAAATATGTAAGCAGGGGACACTTCTTGTAGTTCATTTAAAATTCCAACCATGGTTTCTAAAAAAAATTTATTTTTTTTTCTTAATTTTGTGTCAGGGTGAGGGGGGTGCATGGCCATGAAGCTCATATAGAAGTCAAAGACAATCTTGGGTTTTGGTCCTTGCCTTCCATCCTGTTTGAGACAGGGTCTCTTGTTCACTGCTGCATATGCTAAGTTCTGGGGATCCTGCCTCTGCTTCCCATCTTACTTTAAGGGTTCTGAGAATACAGATGTTCAGCAGGCTTTGTGTGGGTTCTTGACTCTGAACTCAGGGCTTCATGCTTGTATGACTAGTGCTTTACCCACTGAGCTATTTCCTCAGTCTATAAATATTATTTTAACCCATTGAGGTTTTATGTCATTTGTTACATAGCAACTTAGAGCCAGAATAATCTTCCATAAATATGTATTTTACCAGGCTGAATCAGGAGGCTGAATCAGGTAGATCATGGGTCAAAGCCCTCTTGGGCAACCAAGTAAATTCAGGGCAGACCTGGACAACATAGTGAGACTCTGTCTCAAAAAACTGAAAGGAAAAGAAAGGAAAGTGGAATACCATGCACACTATAGAAAGGCTTTAAAAACTAGTCTAGAAAAAAGTTGACTGTACTTACTCCCCCAAACAGTTTTCTGTTTACATGTTTCAGAATTCCTCCATCATTTTTGAGATATTTCATTGGTAGTTTACCAGTGACCAAATAATGTTCATCAGATAGCTTATAATTAATTTACCTTTGCACAGTCTGATTTATATTTATTTATTTATTTATTATTTATTTATTATCTTTTTGAGACAGGCTGTCCCTGTCACCCCAGCTGGCCTGGAACTCATTATGTAGACCAGACTGGCCTTCATCTCCCAGAGATCCACCCACCTCTGCTACCTGAGTTCTGGGATTAAAGGCGTGTGCCACCATGCCCAACTGGAACAATACATTTTTAAAATAAAATTTTTCATTTTTTCCTTACTTTTAAGAAACAAGTTTGTAGGTCAGTAGAACAGAATGGGGAAAAAAAAGCAGAAATACTTGGCTTACAGCTATAGTCAGTTTGACAAAGGAGCAAAGCTAAGTTAGTGAAGAAAAGATCATCTATTCAGCAAGTGCGATTGAAACATGTGGCCGTCCATATACAGAAACATAAGAAAATGAAAAAGGGTCCAGACACAGACCTATGTCTTTCATAAAAATTAAAATAGCTATAGACCTAAATTTTTTTTTAAAAAGCTATATATCGTCAAGATAATAACATGGAAAGTTTAGGTTAACAGTGCATTTGGGGATGTCTTTAGATTCAACATCAGATGTGTACTTCTGAAAGAAAAAAATGGATGTTGGACTTAAGAAAATTGCTCTGCAGCTAGGCGTGGTGGTGCAAGCCTTTAATCACAGCACTTGGGAGGCAGAGGCAGGCCGATCTCTGTGAGTTCAAGGCCAACCTGGTCTACATAGTGAGTTTCAGGTCAGCTGGAGATACAGGGAGACCCTGTCTCAAAAAGACAAAAAAAAAAAAAAATTGCTCTGCGAAAACTGCAGTTAAGGGGTAGAGAGATGAGATGGCTCAGTGGTTAAGAGTGCTTCTTGCTGTTGCAGAGGACCTGGATTTCTTTCCCAGCACGGACATCAGGTTGTGAGCTGCCTGTAACTCCAGCCCCAGAGGACTCCAGGACCTCTGGCCTCCTCAGGCACCTACATGCATGTGATGCACATAAAGTCACAAACACATAAACAGTCACATAAATAAAAAATAAATCTTTAATACTCACACACACACTTAAGAATATCGGCGGGGGAGTGATTGCTCAGTGGGTATGTGCACTGGCTGCTTTTGCAGAGAACCCAAGTTCGGTTCCCAGTACCCACATGGCAGCTGACAACCATCAAGAACTCCAGTTCTAGAGAATCTGATACCATCTTCTGAACCCTGCAGGAGTGCACTTGCATACATGCAGGCAAAACAAAGATTTTGGAAAGAAGATGGAAAGGGGAGTTCAGGAAACAGCTTAGTTGGTAAAGTTTTTTCCACCAGTGATGAGAACTTTAATACCACAGAACCCACATTGAAAAAATTAATTGTGTGGTGGCATACACTTGTAATTCCAATGCTGGGAAGGCAGGGTTAGGTGGATCCCTGGGGCTCACGGCCAGCCAGCCTGGTCTAATTGGTGAGCCCCAGGTCCCAGTGAGAGACCTTATCTCAAAAAGCAAGATGGATGACACGTGAGGAACAACATCCAAGGTTGCCCCCTGGCCTCCACATGTATATATGCACTCACACCCATACACACACAAAAAAAAAAAGATGAAAAAGTAAGCACAGAGTAGAAGAAAGTCTTTACAAAACACCTGATAACGGTCTGATAGACAAAATTCAGGAAGAATTCTTCAAAGTCAACAGTAAGAAAATAATCAAAAATAAAAAGAGTGAGCCTCTTCCTTTCCCTCCACCCTTCTGTCTTCTCTGCACTGGTAGGAGCTCTCCTGCCTTGGCCCTTCACCCTGTGAAAATACATCCCTGCTCCAAGTTCATCTCTACCCACTTCTTGATCAGGAGCACCTCTGAGCTACTGAGTCGACCACTATCTGCAGTGGTGTTGAACCAACCAGAGACATTGGCAGATGAGAACTTCAGCTGCAGCTTCCAAACCAGCACCATTTTGAGCAACGTCAACATGGCAGCCATATTCGTTGGGGTTGGGGTAGCTGACTCTGCAGCTGGGATTGGGACTGTGTTTGCGAACCTCACCATTGGTTATGCCAGGAACCCATCTCTGAAGAGACAGCTCTTCTGCACAATTCTGGGCTTTGCCTTCTTGGAGGCCATGGGGCTCTTTTGCCTAATGGTGTCCTTTCTCATCCTTTTCGCCATGTGAAACAGCTGTCTGTGTGTTGTGAGGTGCTTCACCAGAGAAGACCACTCAAACTTTTACTAAATGAAAGTCTATTATTAGCTGGCCAGCAACTACACAAGGGTGTTGGAACCCAAGTACAGCCCCGAGCCATCTCTAGGGTAAGCTTTTATACAGAAAAACCATAACCTGGGGTGAGAAGTTTAAGTTCCCAAGCTTACAAGTGGAAAGCCCCTTTAACAGTTTCTATTCTGTTAAACAATTACTATTTTGCACAAGCAAGCCAAGCATAACCTACAGAAGCCATAAATCTGAAGTTAGCAGGTGCATTCTAGGACATGCTGACCTGTTCCCAAGACAATCTAGGGTCCTGCTGACGTGTATTCCCATACCCTGGGCCAACTGCCTGATAATTTCAGAGGCTAGAGTGAGTCGGCCTAAATTTTCAACATGAGTAAGCCCTCATGTTGAATTAAGTTAGACTCACTGAATGTAGTGATGCAGAATGTTGATAGAGGCCATATGGGAGCTCTCTGGCATTTAATTCAGTTTTAATCTTTTTGTTCTTTTTCCTGAAACTGTTCTAAAAAATAAAACTTGGTTGTGTTTTAATTAAGAAAATAATAAAGATGGGGCTGGATAGATAGGTCAGCCCTTTCAGAGGACCCGGATTTGATTCCTAGCACCCATGTTGCAGCTAACAGCCATCCATAACCCCAGTTCCAGGGGCTCCAGACCCTCTTCTGTCCTCCACAGGCATTGTCATACACCTACCTACATGCAGGCAATACACATAAAATAAAAATAATAAATAAAATTCTAAAAATTTTTCCAAAAAAAGAAAAGAATAAAGAACGCCTGATATGGCACATGCTCTATTCCCAGCACTTGAGAGGCTAAAGCAGAAAGATTATGAGGTGGAACCTGGACTACATAGTGACTTTTCTCAAAACCTTCAATAAATTTTCAAAGGTTCATCTCTAGCAAGGATTATTTAAGTCATACTTTTTTTTTTTTTTTTGGTCTTTTTGAGACAAGGTCTCTCTGTAGCCCGAGCTGGTCTGGAACTTGCTATGTAGACAAGGCTGGCCTTGAATTCACATAGATCTGCCTGCCTCTACCTCCCAAGTTCTGAGATTAAAGGCTGTGCCACCATGCCTGGCTTGAGTCATCATATATTTCTTAAAAGCCTTGTTTGATTTTAGGCTGGTTTAGACAGGTTTCTTTCATTGAGATTTTAATTCCTCTATGCATGAATGGAACTGCTGATAGTTTCCAGTTTGTCAGATGGTTTAAACTGCAGTAAGAAATCAACTTCTTAGTGCTAGAGAGCTGTCACAACCATTAAAAGCCTCAGGCTCACAGGCAAAAAGACAAGAAGTCAACTTCCAGCATTGGTCTGGTTTTTGTTTACTATGTGGTATCCATTCTTGTGTACCTTCTGTCCTTATGTAAGATTTTGAGTGGGAAAAGGTAGATTTTTCTCAGTCACTCCTCTGCCTCTCTCAGCTGCAGGCCTCATGCACACGTTCAATGCCCATGCAGCTACTGACATCACAGGCTTTGGGATTTTGGGCCACGCACAGAACCTGGCCAAACAACAGAGGAACGAGGTGTCGTTTGTGATTCACAACCTTCCTGTGTTGGCCAAGATGGCAGCCGTTAGCAAAGCCTGTGGAAATATGTTCGGCCTCATGCACGGGACCTGCCCAGAGACATCAGGTACAAGCCCCTGCTATGGATTTCCAGTCCCCTCCATCCTTATCTGACTGAGAGTGATAATTTGAGTTGGATGTTCCTGTGTTTTCTGTTGGTTGGTTGGTTGGTTGGTTGGTTGGTTTCTTGAGACAGAGTAGTCTCACTTATAGAGCCCTAGGTAGCCTACTCCTATGTAGACCAAGCTGGCCTAAAACTCAGAAATCCACCTGCCTCTTGTCTTCTGAGTGCTGGGATTAAAGGCATGTGTCACTGCCATACCGCTGTTCTACTGTTTCAGGTAGGGTAATGGAAGTGATATGGGAGGTGAGTTCAGAAAAGATGAATCATACCTGATTTTCATTGGCAATTTAATGCTTGGCATAAACTGTAAAAACCACAAGTAACAAGAAAAAAGAAGGCCGCTTTTTTTTTTCTTAAAACATGTCTAAAATTGGTGTTTTGCAGAGCATCATGGCACTTACCCACTACTAGGGAAGCTGAGGCGGGATAATCAAAACTCTTAGGCTACCCTTTCTCAAAACAACAACAAAAAGAGCCAGGTGTGGTATTACATGCCTATAATCCTGATGCCAGAAGGATCACTGCAAGTTTGAGGCCAGCCTGGTCTAAAATTGTTTTAAGAGTGAAACAGCATATATACTATGTTTCAGGTAGAGACCATAAGCCATCCCATGAGTGCCTTGGCATCTTAGGAGATAGCCTTCACCAGGCCTCACAGCCTTTGTAAGAACCCTCAACTTCTTGCTTAAAACATTTCTACAAGTAGCTCTCATAGGGAAGTGTCCCTTTAACTGGAGTCTGACTGGGGCACCAAATGAGCATTAATTACATGAGTTAATGATGTAGCAGTCCATTAAGTTTATTTCCTTTTTCCAGAACCCAGTTTTGGGGTTTTTTTTGGAGGGGGGTCTTTTTGAGACAGGGTCTCCCTGTAGCCCCAGCTGGCCTGTAGCTCACAGAGGTTCACCTGCCTTTGCCTCCCAAATCCTGGGATTAAAGGCATATGTATATTTTTAAGTAGAGTACATTGGTAAGTTTTTTTTTGTTTTTAATGATTATATTATTATTACTTAGAAATACTTTCTGGGCTGCCTGCTAGAAATAGGAAAGAAAGTTGATACTTCCTGTGCTTTGCAGAAAGCTAGGAGTTAAAGCCTAGATACCTTCAAGTATACATCTTCCATGAGTCTTCTTTTTTATTTACTTGTTTATTATTTGATTATTTTTATTTTATGTTTATGAGTGTTATGCCTGCATGTATGTAGGTGCACCTTTGTCGTGCAGTGCCCTTGGAGGACAGAAGAGGGCGTCAGATCTCCTAGAACTGGAGTTATAGACACTTGTTAGCTGCCGTGTGGGTGCTGGGATTTGAACCTGGGTCTTCTGCAAGAACAGCCAGTGTTCTTAACTGCTGAACCATCTTACCAGCCCCCTTCCATGAGTCTTAAGTTAAAAAAAATAATGACAAAGCAACATCTGCTGAGATGAGGAATCCTTGTAGGGCATCACATTGAAAAGGAGCATTTCCCTTGATGTGGAACGGAAGTGTCGCTGTCCTGTGTGACTGAGGCCTCACACACCCTCCTCTTGAGTTCCTTTAGTGTGGAATATAAGTCACTGTTGTGTATCACTGTGGCCTCACCTACCTTCCTGTGTTCCTGAGTGTAGAACAGAAGAGTCACTGTCATGTGTGATTCAGGTTTCATGCACCTTTCTCTGAATTTATCAAATAAATCATTTCAGTTTAGGGTTTGCTCTTTTGTGTTAGGTGTTTTAACATAGTAGATGTTTACCAACAGGTTACTTAACTAGTCTCCAGAATAGAGCAGCCTTAGATTAATGGAAAGAGCAGTGTCTGTTTAATCTTTGATGGAGGCAGAGAAATCTGATCTGCTCCCAAAGTGACACAAATAGTAATTCTCTTCTTTTTCTCTGTCAGGAGGCCTGCTAATCTGTTTACCACGGGAACAAGCAGCTCGGTTCTGTGCAGAGATAAAGTCCCCTAAATATGGTGAAGGCCACCAAGCATGGATTATTGGGATCGTAGAGAAGGGCAACCGCACCGCTAGAATCATCGACAAACCCCGGATCATTGAAGTCGCACCTCAAGTAGCAACTCAAAACGTGAATCCCACACCTGGTGCCACCTCTTAATCTAGACAGAAATATCTGTTTGGTTTTCTTTTTAAATAAATCTATTTCCTTTGCCATCACTTCAATTAAAGACTCTTAAGAACAACAAAAATCTCGTTGTGTCTACACATCTGATGACCCTAGGTCAATTGTGAGTCGATGCAATTAATAAAATGAAATCCATGGCCTTCTTTTCCTGTTACATTAAATGAAGATGCACCCAATCTTGAGGCAGCTTCTGAGTTGAGAATGATATTGTTATCTAATACTGTTGATTCATTTTGAATCTTTAGATGCATATCTCTTGCCGCATAGGCGCTTTCTAAAGGTGCTTTCACACCGCACAGACATTATGGAGAGTAGTGTCATTGAGAAGTCTGTGTCTTTTCATTTTCTGTATATTTATCATATCAGTCTGGTCTTTCAGTGTCTCTGATGGCATTCTGGAAAGACAGACTTGGTAAGTGACATGATGGTCTCCTAGTAGAGTTGCATGAGTCTTTTGTCTTTGATTTGTAAAACTGAGTCTAATAACTCAACATTTCTTTGACCCAGGATGTTCTCCAGTAGCTCATTCAGTTTAGTAAGGCTAGTGCTTTACTCTGCATGGAAATTACTTTGAAGACAAAAAAGAAATTTTCTTTTTTTTTTTTTTTTAAATAACTTTCCTGATATTTGCGGTAAAATACCATTAGTGGTTTTCTTTACCAGTAACAAAAAAGAATATCTTTTGCAGTTTAATTAGATGTTCTATAGTGCAGCAAGGAATTGCCTTCCGATTGGAGGCTTCATGTATAATAATCATTTATAAACCAGTATAATTAACTCCACAAATAATTTTTAAATATAATCAGTAATAAAGACTGTTCTGTGGATGGTAGTATTTACTACATTTTATATTTTGTATAGTGATTTCAGACCTTTTATTTTCTTCAAATCAGCAGCTCTTTAGCCTAATTCTTAGCATCCCTTTGTCTTTGCGCCAGTACTTTTTTTGTGCACACGTTTTGTGATCTGTGTTAAAAACCTGCATTGCCAACATTGCAGCCCCAACTTAAAAGTTGTTATTCAAATAAATATTTAATTTTTTAAATTGCTGTTGTATAATCAGATGCCCTTTTTAGTGTTATTTAGAAGCATTGGGAGGATTTTACCTAAAGTACAGTTTATTGGGGAAAACTAGATTTTAGTTTTGTAAAACTTTTAAGTCTTTCAGGGGACCTATATTTTCTTGAATTAAATTTTGTAGTTCTAGAACAAATAGGCAATCTACGAGGATGTTATCTGTGTTTCGTAAAAACAGAGGCTTTTAACCTCTTCAGCAGTTGGGGGATTCCTGTCATTAAGCACAAAGGCTTAAGTCCCGGTCTTCATAGGAGAAAAGGTACCACAGAACTCTCCAAATTGCAAAATGATTCCTAACAGGCACCAGAGCCACACCATGTAAACCCAGCCTCCTTGATCCTCACCATTGGAAACTACCTGTCGTTGGGCCAACGGGGCTTCCTTGAAGGAAAAGGCTACAATGGGGCTGTGTCCTTCAGGAGCTGCTGGGCTGCTGTGTACACATCTAGCTTCAACTGAAGCCTCCAAGTCTGCCAGACTGCACAGAGGAGGCTATCATGAGACGGACACTAATTGGACACTTTATAGGAATTTATGCAGACGTTGGTCCTCAAAAGTACACGCCAGTGGTCTACAAAATAAAATGTGTTGGAACCCTCTGAGTACAGAGAGCAGACTGTTGAGCTTGCTTTTTTTTACCTGCCCCTTTAGTTGAAATCTGTGCTAATTCTGTGTATAGTCTGTCCCAAAGGCTGGTGCTTTTCTTGGCCTTTTGGAAAGTTAACAGATAATACTCTATGGAAATCATCTCTGTAAAGGTTCATATTTATAAGGAGAAAATGCAAGGGACTTAGAGGTCCATGGAATTAATGGTGGTAGAAAACCGGTCTCTTCAGTGGTGGTCTGAGTGCTCAGGAACCTCTACATTAGAATCTCCCTGCATGTTTGTCAAGAGAGACATTCCTGCCCTTTCCCTCAGACTCCCAGAGTCAGCGTTTCTAGGATATGGAACAAGGTCATCTGTTGTAACTGTGTGCCCTTTATTTAGGGCTTTGCATACTAAAGTTTGAGAACCACCAATCTCAAAAGCAATGTTACAGAAGGAAGAGAGGAAGAAAGTGGAGCTGTCCAGGAAATTCTTTTGTTTGTTTTTTTTTTTGAGACTGTGTCTCCCTGTAACCCCAACTGGCCTGGAACTCACAGAAATCGGCCTGTCTCTGCCTCCTAAGTGTTAGGATTAAAGGCATGTGCCACCATGCCCAACTTTTTTTGAATCTTGACTTTTGTTTATTTCCCATGTCTGAACTGTGACCCAGCAATGGAGTGGGAGACTAAGGAGATAATTTTTAGGTCCCTTGAATCAAGTGATGGGGAAGAGGAAACTCATGGCTGTCACTGAGTTTGGCACACTGTAGAACTCTTAAAATTTGGCAAACTAGTTATCTGGCTTTCTAGTATCATTAAAATTTCACATTGAAGTGTGTTCATCTTGGTTATACCTGCAAATTCTATGATGTTGCATCCAAAAATAGTCTGGAGAATGCATGAGATAAGGAGTCAGTTCCTTGTAGACAGCCAGGTAACCACAAGAGTATTAATTAAGGTTCAGTTAGTTATTTACATAGCCTATGTTGAACATTGTATTTCAGTCTAGGGAAACTGTAAATGTTTTGTGAGCAACAACATACTTTTTCTTTTGGGCTCAGTATTTTGAAATGTAGTCTTCCAAATTCTGCATGATTTATAATGAATAGATGGGAGCATTTTAATTGTTCTGATAGGTGTATGAGTGAGCCACTTGCAGCCTGAATTTAGCATTGCCAATAGGTGTCATGTCCTGGTCCTGAGAGGGCTCAGCAGGTAAAGGTCATTTGCCTCCCAAGCCTGAAGACCTGAGTTCAGCCCCAGAATCCATGTAAAGGTGGCAGGAGAAAAGCAACCAAAACTGTCCTCTAGCCTCCACCTGCTTACCGTGGCATGTCCACCCCCACCCCCACCCCATGTATATGCACATAACAAAATTTTGGTTTTTTTTTTTAAGGTTAAAAAGCATGTCTGAGTTGTAGATCTTTTATTCTGTATAGACAAAGATAATTGATAGACCATACTATTTTTAGAAGTGATGAGTACAGGCATAGGTATTTCTGGGGCTGGAGAGATGCTTCAACATTTAAGAGCACTTGGCTACTCTTTCAGAGGGCCTAGGTTTGATTCCCAGCACCCACATGGCAGCCAGCAATCATCTGTAACTCCAGTTCCAGGGGAATCCAATGCTCTCTTGAGACATCCACAGGCATTGCATGACGTGGGTGTACTTACATGCACACAGACAATACATTCATACATGTAGGATAAAAATAATAAAACTTTTTAAAAAGTGATGAGCATAGGCTATGTGTTTCACAGACCTGGGAATAAATGTGTACACACATGTACGCTGTTTGAGCTGCTCATTTCCACACCTAGCCCATCTTTCTGATCAGGCCATCATAGACAACAGTCTGCTTCCAGCAGGCATTTGTACCTTTTTTGGGGAGTCCATATAGGAATCATGTGGTCATAAAATGTACCAGGGATCACAGTGAAAATCCAGAGTCCCATTAAAAGTGGAGCATACACCAGCTGTTTTGCATTTGTTTAAATTCTGCCTTGAGTAAGGTCAGGGGTGAATGGTTTAGACTAGGCCTGAATCAAGGAAAATGGACCATGCTCCTAGGTTTCAAGCATGATCAAGCAGACTTGCTCTAAACAGTGAGTTAGAATGGGGGCTGGCAAGATTGCTCAGCAGGTAGAGAAACACCATCAAGTCTTATAACCTGAGTTCAATCCCCAGGACCCACATGGTGGAAGGAGAGAACCAACTTCCATAGGTTTCCCTCTGACCTCCACATGCATGCCATATTATGCATATACACATGTATGCACATGTGTATGTATGTGCAAAGGCATGCACTAAATAAAATTTTAAAATAGAATGGGTACCCCTAGAAATATTTTTTTACTGATGTTTTAACAAATTTGCTTTCTTTGTATATATAATTATGCATGCATACATACACATTATTTGTTTGGGCAGAACCACTTGCATAAGTGGATTACAGACATGGTGACTAGCCAGAAGGGTGGGGAGTCCATCTCCAGAAAAACAAAAATGCAGAGTGAGCTATTTATTGTTCTGTACAGGGCCTTCCACACCATGGTAGACTGAAAACAAGAGCCAAAATAAATCTCTCCTTAAATTCATGTGTGGCATTCTGTTACAGCAACGAAAGAAAGTCTGACTAAGAAAATTGATACCCAAAGTGGTTCGTTGTGACTAAACTTGACCATGTGATTCAGAAGTCTTTAGAACTTGTTGCAAGAATTTGGAAAAGTTTGGAGATATAAGCTAGAGAAACCTTAGACTGCTGTAAAAATAAAAAAATATTTTAAAAAAGCTTAAGGAAATCCTGGTGGGAGCTCAGAAGCCCAGAACACCTGTAGAAACAGACATAAAAACTACTTGTGAGGTTTCGAAAGGGAGTGGAGAATCTTGGGAATGGACTACAGAAGCTGTGTTATTTTTTGTCAAAACTTTTGCCTGTGTTTTATCCATACCCTGAGACTGAATGAGGCTGAGTTGAAATGTAATGGATGAATTAATCTGGTAGAGGGAATTACAAGGCAGTTTAGCACTCAGGCTTCTGCAGGTCTATTGTTGGTTGCTTTTAGCCAAATTTACAATGAGGATTTTGAACAAGAGCAGGAAGGCCTTTAAAAAATTCATTTTGAGGGAGAAATCAAGCTTGGACTAAGCTGGAAACTCCCTACCATGGGATGGGTGGCTTTCATGATGCCAAAAGGCAACATGCAGATGACTAGGGAAGAATAGTCCCCCATAATTCGCCTCAAAAACAGACCCTGCAGTGTTGCGCTATCAACATACCAAACAAGATGTTCCTGCTGGTGCAATAGTGGAGTGTCTAGTGTGTGTACAACCAGCAAATTTTTGTTTAGATATAATGCCTGCTCCTAGGGGTGGAACACACTTCTGGTACTGTAGACCTGGGCAGGGCCCTGTGACAGTGGAGAATATATGATTCAGTGGGAGGTCACCGCAATCACCTTGTTAGATGGAAATGATGCACTTGCTAAAATACTGACTAAGCATTTGTCTTTACACCCATAGATTAAGTTTTTATAGCAGTCACTGTTTAGATGTTCTTGCTTCTAGGTATGTGTGTGTGTGTGTGTGTGTGTGTGTGTGTGTGTGTGTTTATAGTAGATGGAATCCCACTGAAAAGAGCCAATAGCCCATGGAAAACAGATGATGCAGAGACCTGAAAGTTCAGTGCCTTGCCACAAGGGGAAGAAGACCATCCCACACCTACCACCCCCTCCAAGGCTCAAGGACTTTTGCAAAAGAGGTTGACAGAAAGGATGTAAGAGCCAGGGGAAGGGGTGGAGTGTTAACTGCAAGTGTCCTCTGACCACTATGCGGGCAAGCTATAGTCACACCTCCTTCCCACACTCATCAAGGAGTCGAGGGAAGAGTCAGTTACCCCTCCCACCCAATCCGTTGACCTTAACTGAATGTAGGGGAGAGGCAAAGGATGTATAAACCCAGAACACAAAGAGGGACCTCCCTCACCATTTTGTACCGTGGTTGGAAAGTCACTGGATCCGCACAGCCATAAATGTGGGGTGCCCACTCTTTTGTGAATAAACAACTGCCCTATGCTCTGTTATCACCCCCCAAAAATATACAATGTGCTACATGCAATAATACAAAATACAAAATATAAAAATGCCATTAAAAAAAAAAAAGGACAAGCCAGGCGTCATGGCACACACCTTTAATCCCAGCACTCCGGAGGCAGAGGCAGGTGGATCTCTGTGAGTTCAAGGCCAGCCTGGTCTACATAGTGAGTTCCAGGACAGCTGGGGCTACAGGGAGACTCTGTCTCAAAAACACCAAAAAAAAAAAAAGAGAGACAAATAATATATGAATTCAGGGGGCAGGGTTAGTAAGGTGGGGATGGAAGGGGA